GCAAACAATTGTTCAATAGGTCAAGAGTTCAATGTGTGAATTCATCTATTCTGGCAATTTTGAATACTGACATTATCAAGGGTAACTGTGTACTCACCCTGCAGGTATGCTCTGTAATGTTCTATCACATATTCTGTAGGGAAAGAAGTACATTTTGTAATATCTTAAGGTAGGTGAACAGGTGGGACAAACGCAACCAATGCATCTCCTGTGAAGTCAAGTTAAAACTTTAGCAGGTTTTTGTTCTTTGGATCTGACAAAAAGTGAGAAGGGTGATTTGGCAAGAATGTAGGTTTATGAATAATACCAGACCTTTCTCTGGTCAGGCCCAATCAGCCCATGCCATGACTTACGCATTCTCTTTTTAGCGAACGCCCACGAAAGCCCACCAATTGTCGCACGAATCTTAAAATGTTTGGTGTGGTCATGTCCAGAGTGTGCTCGCGGGTGTCCATGCCAAGTTTGAAGCGAATCCATCGAGCCGAACTTAAATAAATCGAAATTTACTGGGTTTTTTCTCTTCTTGGCGAACGCCCACTTTACTTCCAGGTTCGCTGCGAACGCCCACTACTCTTGGCAAAATTTCGGCCCTCGCGCAACGCCGGCAAAATCCACCACCACAAATATGTTCCTATATGCCTCCCCCTGCATTTCTGACAAGTTTCCGTGCTTTACGAGCTTTTAAAGTACCCATTTTTTGACAAAATATGCGCTGCGACGAGCTCGCCGCCTCCGCGTATACGTTCCACCTGGTCACGTGACTTGCGGGCGGGGACTGTTCGCTAATTTCATGATCAGCGGGAGGGAGGAAGGGTTGCAGAAAAACGCAACGTTATGCAAAAAAAAATTCTTACATAATATGACGCACACACATGTATACCAGAGGGTATATATATATATATATATGAATATATAGATAATTAATGCAAACAAAGCGGTTAACATTGTTGTCCACACCGCCGGCGACTGGAAGGTGCGTGCTGCAGGTAACCTGATACAGTTGTATGAAATCCCTGGTTTGAGAAGTGTATCAATTGTGCAACACTATGTCTGTGATATCGCAGCTTATTTATAATAATAACCGTGGTGAAAATTATGCAGGAAAGGAAATCATTTATGTTTGATGTTACAAAGACGACATTCTGCCCTTTTTGTGCGGTAGATTGCGTTTTTCTGCAACCCTTCCTCCCTCCCTCTGATCATGAAATTAGCGAACAGTCCCCGCCCGCAAGTCACGTGACCAGGTGGAACGTATACGCGGAGGCGGCGAGCTCGTCGCAGCGCATATTTTGTCAAAAAATGGGTACTTTAAAAGCTCGTAAAGCACGGAAACTTGTCAGAAATGCAGGGAGAGGCATATAGGAACATATTTGTGGTGGTGGATTTTGCCGGCGTTGCGCGAGGGCCGAAATTTTGCCAAGAGTAGTGGGCGTTCGCAGCGAACCCGGAAGTAAAGTGGGCGTTCGCCAAGAAGAGAAAAAACCCAGTAAATTTCGATTTATTTAAGTTCGGCTCGATGGATTCGCTTCAAACTTGGCATGGACACCCGCGAGCACACTCTGGACATGACCACACCAAACATTTTAAGATTCGTGCGACAATTGGTGGGCTTTCGTGGGCGTTCGCTAAAAAGAGAAACCCATGACAGTGAGAGATTACACACTGGATAGGTTTATAACTAACTGCTTCATATATGCAGAGGGACTGTAGCTGACCTTTCCACAGTGTTCTGGTAGCCACTGACAGCCTCTCTATTAAAGAGTGGAATCAGTAGAGCGCGGAGAGCTATGGCTTCAGTTCCTGAAGGGTAACCAAAACACAACAGGATCAGTAAGGACTCAAGTGTTCTGCATGAGTACATCTACATCTACTACAGCTACATTCTTTACATTTGACCCTCTTTGACTATTCATCTGTGACATCTGGAGAGCTTTTAAGCATTCTTTGTTTTCTTTCTTCTGCCTTTAAGCCAGATGTTTTTGTCCACTTATTGAATTTCAAAGCAGAATAGAATTACACACAGGTTACCAGCATTTTATATATGGAGCCAACATTGAGGGAAACGTCTGTGTTCGCTGAATCCAATCTCTTTTCTGAGGCTAAGGAAAACCTAAATACATGTAATAGCAAGAATTGAAAGAACTTGACCAACCATCAGAAAACAGCACATTTTCTCCATACAGCCCTTGCCAGAGAGCCTTGTATCCCATATCAAAATGCTGTGTCTTCTCTGAAAAACAATAAATGAAATAAAATGAAAGCTCAAATGTTGTCAGTTACAAAATCAAGTCGAATCGACACAATCAATTCAAATTAACTTCATTTTTATCTGTGTTAACAATATTATACCTTTTTTTATCATTAACAGTATAACACCTTTTAAAGTTAAAGAGGTAAAATCAATGTGAGTCCAATCTTCACCATTCAGGAGTTTTTTAACTGCTTCTGCTGATCCCACAAACACCGTTGGACGGTTGATAAACCTCGCTTGGAAGATCCTGCTGCTGTAGTCCTGTATCCTTTTCTCCATGAAGTGGACTGGGTCTCTGTAGAACTCCAAAGAGTTGTCCCCTACCCAAGGGTACCCTACATAGCCTGGAAGCTCTGACATCTTTGCACTGAATTATGCTCCTCTGACTACACGACAAGTTAACATCAGCTCAAACAGCACTATTTTGTGCTTCTATGTTGCACATGCAAGAAATGTTACCCTGGTAAACTTTGTCATTTTCAGCTCCAAAAAAGTTAAATGGCATTATAGTTTCTTAAGTCCTTCGATGTGGTATTCCCTGAGAGATTGCGAGATGACTGCTGTGTTGGAAAAAAGTTTGTTGTGTCTCCATTCAAGACCTGCAATGAGGAAGAACAAAAAACAGAGATTTCAGACTTCCAGGAAGTATTTTGGACTTTCATCACCTTCGAGTTTATCCCATTTCCTGCATCTTCGTCTCTTGACTGTCTGTCATTCTGCCTGTCAATCTTCAATCCCAGCATGTATGCTGTCAACCTACTGTCAAACAATAAGACAGAAATGCACAATATGTCAGCTCAGCCATCCCAAATAATACTTCCAATACCCAGTAAGAGAGATTCTCTGAGTGCTCACAATCTCAGCTACAAAGAAGTTACTCCATGATCTGCCTTTTAGTAAGTTTTACAAAGTTTAACTGTTGCCAAATTTAAGACACCACTTACATACAGACATCAACATAACCAGACAGCTTTGACACCTACACTACTCTATACTGTTTCCACCGCAATGTCAGTATGATAACTTACAAATATAACGTTACAGCCTATAGTAACAACCCGGAAGTCCTATATGCAGTCGGTATCTGGAGTATGGGTGGGGGGTCTGTTGGAATGCCACTTGAAAACGTCCGAGTCATACTCAAAGTCGATCGATTTGTGAACAAGAATGAAACTCACAACATAGACAACAGAGAAATGTGAACGTGGCTACGTATAGGAATTACAGACAGTCTATTTCCATTCGAGAGAGAACTCGATACTCACACTGACTGCTGCATGGCCGCCATCTTTTCTCGCAATGTTTTGATCATGTGACCAGAAGTTCAAGGTTATAAATCAAAACTGCCACTTTTGCCATGGCAATGATTTAATCCCTGCAAATTCTTTAAACACTGGCATATAAACATTACATCCTCGTAAATAGTGTAAAAAGCAATGCCAAGCAGTTTTATAAACCACTTTGGAGTTTCCCTCTACTGCTCTCTGATCTTCTCTGTGATTGGCCGGTTGGTATTTTTCGCGGGAAACTTGACCACGTGATACACAATCACACACAGATCAAAACACACTTGGGCTGAATCGAGATATCGGGTGTTCTTCCTAAATCTGTCACGATTCTCGCCTGTATTTGCAGACGGGCGTATCTGAGAAGTCCCGGCATGATCGGTCAGAAGAAGATCTCTTCGTTCTTCAGCCCTCAGCCGGCGAAGAAACGGCCGGCAGATGGAGAAAACGGCGGGAACAGTCCAGACGGGAAGGTTTGTTATTAATTAGTTTGTGTGGGGAGGGGGGCGTGACTTCTTGGCATGGCGCCTCTGAAGTTCAGAGACTCAAATCCCGGCCTATATATATATACCAGTCAGCTTCCTGGATCCTAATTTGCACGCTGCTGGTAGTGGTTGTGCTGTAAGCCGATAAAGGTTTACCCTCATATATGCCAAGAAGGCAGAGGCTATGCCTGCCAAATATATTTTTTTTGTAACAAATATCCTAAACCTGACGTTATGTAGCCTTATGGCTATGTAAAGAGGATGATCCTGTAAAATGGTGAAAGAAAAAAAAAGACATTGGTGAAGTGGTATCTATTGATGTCTGATCAAACAAAATGTATAGAGATATCTGTTAAGAGAGATATATTGCACTGAAACCTCGAGACTATAAGACACCAAGACACGTTCCACCCTTGCAGGTAACTCCTGTGAAAAAGCTGAAAGCAGACGACAGCCCAACAACCTCCCCTCCTGGCAACAATGGACTGTCCCCGGAGCAGCGTGCTCGGATGGAGGAGAAGCGGAAGGAGGCTCTGGGGAAGCTGGCGAACAAAAACTGTCCAGCTGACATGGGAGAGACCTGGAGACGGGCGCTGGCTCAGCAGTTCAGCAAGCCGTACTGGCTCAAGGTAACAAGTGTTTATTGATGTCGTCTTCCCCTGGGGTTGAGAAAGTCCTGGATGTATGCCTTAGAAACCAAGGATTTTGGTGGTTTCCCAATAATCTCATTCTTGTGTTTTTCTTCAGTTGATGTCCTTTGTCCAGTCAGAGCGAGCCAGTCGGACGGTGTACCCACCAGCCAATCAGGTCTTCACCTGGACCCAGATGTGTACCATACAGGAGGTACAGGAACATGCATGGAAAATGCCATTTAGACCTCCTGCCATATAGGCATAAAGTCAAAACTATACAAGAAAACCACCCAGGAGACCAACAATATCACTATAGACAGGATTATTGATACTCAATGGGAAAAACTATGTATCATAAAGGGAATGCTAAAAAGTTGCTGCACTGTCCTTATATAAAGGTGGCTTCTTGTACAGGTTTGACTGTACTTTGACAAAAAAAAAACTGTCAGCAAACGTGGATGTCTGTCACTCAGTCTGGCAAATTAAAAAGCTCCTTCTCTACATCTGTCTCTCTCCAGTTGCTCTATAATGATACTTCCAACATTGATCACCCCCACTTGTTGACTTGTATGTGTATCCTTGTACAGGTCAAAGTGGTCATCCTGGGACAAGACCCATACCATGGACCTGGACAGGCACATGGTATGTACGATAGGTCAGGACCCTAAACATCACTGTACTAAGCTTGACATTGTAACGTCCAATATTCCCGTCATTGAACCAGTTACAAGTAGTGTCACTTTGTCTTTCATGTCAAGTTGCTACCTACATAACACAAAGGGTTAATAATGATGAGATGAGATGAGATGTGTGAAGATATATGAAGTAGTACATCTATACCATTTGTTTCCAGGTCTGTGCTTCAGTGTGCAGCGACCTGTCCCACCACCACCGAGGTACAGTCTCATCTCTTCTATCTGCCAAGTTTGCCACCATAGGGCCTTCATACTTGTTTTTTCTCTTAACAAATCCATTAAGGCAATATCCAGCAGTCTTAAAAGGGAAGGACTGTCATTGCCAACAATATACTATACCGTATGTACATGTAAGTACTATATACTATAAGTATGAATGTTTCAAATAGTTATGTTATTTCCCTGTATTTTCCCCAGCTTGGTGAACATGTACAAGGAACTACAGAAGGATGTGGAAGGGTTTGAGATACCAAACCATGGAGACCTGACAGGCTGGGCAAAACAGGGTACTTATCAAGCCACGAGCCTTCAGAACTTCTGATGTTTAACCTTACATATTGATTTTTTAAGTAGGAAAATAATTCAAACCACAGTCTTAGCCATTTCAATAAAATGTTCATTACAGCATTACAGAAATTTACTATCCCTCCTGACTTGTACAGCAGCCAGTGTTAATGCTTCATCTGTATTGCAGGGGTGTTGTTACTGAACGCTGTTCTGACAGTCCGCAAACAAGAGGCCAACTCTCACAAGGGCCAGGGTTGGGAGGAGTTCACTGACGCTGTAATCACCTGGCTCAATAAGAATGGTGACGGGATTGTCTTTATGCTGTGGGGGGCATATGCACAGAAGAAAGGCAGCTTCATTAACAAGGTACAGTATCGTCTCATTCAAGTCTATTGTTTCTTTTTGTTGTTAGCAGTGTGACTAGCTTATGAATTGATTTTTTATGTTTTTGTGACTGAGACGTCTACATGTAGTTCAAATGCCAGGGATGTTTGATAGAACTTGTCACTTAAAATTTGCAGTATTGTTATACTTCATATGTTTCTTTTTTTTGGAAATGGGCTTCTAGTCATAGAAACCTAGCCTGGTTCCATCCTATTTGTATACCAGGGCTCCTATACATGTACTTGCTCCCTAAAAAGGAGAGAGTATGTGAGCCCTGCTATGCAAATAGGATGGCACCCAGGTTATTAGAAAATTTCCTCTGAGTTGAATTAAGTGTTGTGCTTGCACATTTCCTCCACAGAAGAAGCACCATGTCCTGAAAGCCCCCCACCCCTCCCCCCTGTCAGCCCACAGAGGGTTTCTGGGCTGTGGACACTTCTCCAAGACCAATGACCTTCTCAAGTCTGCTGGGAAGACTCCAATCAACTGGTCCAAACTCAGCTGAGATGTTGCAACAGTGCACTTCAGACATGTCAGAGGCAGCTATGCTATGGCACCGAAAACAAGAAGTACCAAATAAAAGTATAGATTTCCTAACAAAATAGTTTGTATCTTAGATGTTATTGTGGAAAAGACTTATGTTAGATGACATTGTACAAAGCCATACTTTTAGATATGCACTCCACTGTACTTTAGTATGTATGAAAACAAGATATTGTAGTTCACTAGGTGCTAGTTAAAAGTCTTTGGGATGCTGATGGTACAGGATTGCAAAACAAGTGACAGTGATTTTGCTTTATTCTGCAATACGTTGTTTATAACATGTCAAGTAAGTTTATCTAAAAGTGTACCAGCTGTAAGAAACCAGCATGTTGTGCTATACTGTGCATGAGGTGCAATCAATACTGTAAAAAGAGTATTCCATGTAGTTGTAGTGTCATGCCATATCATTCCTCAGTTAACAAGATGGATCATTGAACATGTGATTTTATCATTTTTAGGTTGTAGTAGTTGTCAAGGATAATTTACTTACCTTTAGTTAAGATCTTGAAAGAACATCTATGATATTTTAGTTTGTTGAAATATTTAGATTTTAACACGTCATTTATGCCAGTAGTTCATGTTAATCCTACAATAAATCGCGTTTTGTTTGCACAATCTTGGAATCATTTTATGTAAGATATGATTCAGATGGAATTTTTATATTACTTGCAATTGGGGCAGTCCTTTTGCACTTGGAAAGGCATCTAGCTGCACTTTGAAGTTATATTAATAGGTGGCGCTTCTACACGGTGTTTTGAATACGTAATATTTACGTAAAAGGTAAATTATTAATGTAACCTTGTTATATGATTTAAGTATGGTGTAATACACCCTGCTCACTATTATTTCCATAGTTACAGTTAGTTTGGATCTATAGGAAATTTCTCATGGTCAAAATCGCATTTTGAGGGCGAAAAGGACCTGTCTCGTATCTGCGGATACAACTGAGTCGCTCGTTTTGCGGCTGAGAAATTTGCGGGAAACGTATCAAAATTTGAGTTCGGGAGTTGGTGGCCATGTTTCCAACAGAAGTTAAGCGATTTTAAAACTCGCGAATGGTTGCACCTACAGCAGAAGTTAACTATGTCTCAAAACGACAGCGAGGAAGAGATCTGGGGGTACACAAGCCGTCTGAAACGGCAACATCACCGGGAGCAGACGGGTGGGGAGGGGGGCGCGGACTCGTCACCTCCCCCTTCTCAGGCTAAAGGAAAGACTCATCGCAGGAAAGCTACCACTCCCAAAGGGAAAGGTCAGATGCTTGCTATGTATAGTGTAATATATTTTAACACCTAAATTGCACACCTAAGCACAGACGTGGCGACTTTTCCAGAGCTATAAATTACAAGACTTAGAGATTGAAGCCATGCAACAGTCCCAATGGCATAGAATCCAATCAGTATCTCTGGTTGGTTGGTGAGTTAGGATCTCCACTAGTGTGCCAATTGATAGTATAATTTGAAACAGATGAACACAAATTGGTTTGATAGCGGCATCATTGGTGTAGTAGACTGAGAGGTGTAGTTCATCTCTGTACAGTGGCTAGCAAATCCAGATTTTTTATTACAAGATGTGCAGTAGAGCCCTGGGTTAGATGTAAGTTGCCTGTAATCACCGTTTTGTTTATGTCAGTTATTTGTAGGCATAATGTAAATTTATGGTAGGCAAATGACCCAACTACCACCCCATTTTGCCTACCACACACTGGCTGTGATGTCAATGGCTTGCTTGTATGGAATGCCCACAGTCAGCTCTGATATTTGCTGGCTGAAAGCGATCCGTTTGTTTGCAATCATTTAATTTTGTAGGAAAAACTACCTCCAAGTCAACAGGCAAGTCTCCACGGAGTAGGAAGTCAGGAGATGCCAGTGAGACTCCGAAGCGCACCGTTCACGAGGGCTTCTGCCCAAACTGCCAGATGCCGTTCAGCCTCTTATTGGTCCAGTCTCCCCGCTGGCACGTGGCTGAGTGTATGGAACAGCCCATTCAGGCAGAAACAGGTTAGTAGTGAGACTAAAGATAAACAGGATCTTCAGGATCAAGATCTTTTTCTAATTTGTTTATTCATGGTAAAATAGATGAGTTTTGTTACATATTGTTCCATGATGATTGTGTTGTTCACAATATCTCAAAATTCTCAACTTAGGCATACATTTTCTTTCTTGCCAGAATGTCCTGCCGGCCTGTCTTGTGACTGCACCATCCCGTCTCACTACCGGCGGTTCCGCCACACCCTGCTGGCCATGGGGAGGGCAGGGCTGCAGGACACGGACCTCATACCTTCTCAGGGTAACCTGCACTGCCTGGGGCAGTTTGTTATATAACAGCTTTCTTATAGCCTGGCTGCCAGCCTTTTTAGCTTTAGAAAGAATAGCATAGCTAATATGTAGCAGGAAGGTTAACTATGACAATACAACTTAATATTATTAAGTTGTATTGTCATAGCCAACCTTCCTGCTACATATCAGCTATATAATAGGCAAAGACTGCATTTCCAGGTTTTCATGGCCCTTTATAGTTATACTTTGTTTTTAATTATCTTTGACTCAGGAGACAAAGTCTTTCCAGAGGACTGTGACAATGGAGACACTGCCACATCATCTGTTACCTCTGCCTGTACCGTCCAGGATGGTGGAAGAAAAAGAGAGCTCTCAGTCAACTCTTTAGAGGAAGTTCCTTCTCTGAAACGTATGAAAAAAGGCAGCATTTCAGAAGCAGAAAGTCCAACATTTGCTCAAGATGAACAAAAAAGAAAAGGAGCATTTTTCTTCAGCAAAATGACAACCTCATCATCAGAAGGCATTGCAGACAAAGCTAAAGGCAAGACATCATCAAAGCAGGGTGGTAGTGAAGTGAGGTCTAGACATTTTCAAGTGTCAGTTAATTCAGGTTCAAATCCCATAAAGCTGGAAGATCAAACACTCCCCAAACTTCCAAACATGTCAAATACAGGTGACCAAGGAAAGGTGAGCAGTATACAAGACTCTGTGCAGAAGATGGAAACAACAGAGATAGCAACAGATGAGAGGGAAGACCAGGAGAGTTTAAGCGACATAGACATGTTTGGAGACGACAGTAGTGAAGATACTCCTGAGATAGATAACCCAGTGAGGCCAAGTCAAGAAGGAAGTGAAAGTTGCAGCGATGAAGACATCTTTGCCTGTAAAGATGGGGGAGAGGAACCTGTCAGTGAGGAGGAAGGTGGAGACAAGAATGATGAACCAGAGTTTGACATAGATGTGAATGACCTGATAGGAGAAATGTCAGATTGGAGAGAGGGTGAGAGTGATGGAGATGATGATGATGATAAGCAGGAAGAAGACAATGATTCTGATTATACTGCTGGAGGAAGCCAAAGTTCTGCACACAGCACTGTTCTAGAAACAAAGTCTTCCTTACCCCAAACTTCCAGTCAAGGAGAGGGTGCACCTAAGAAACAGTCTAGAATATTCTCCTTTTTCAAACCTGTCTCAGGGAGTTCTGTACCGAAATCTGCACAGGAAAAGCTTGAGGTAAAACATAGAGTACAGGAAGGAAGGACTTCCCAGTTGGACAGGACTGGAAGTGTGGGTACATTCCAGCCGGGGTCAGGGTCTCAGACAAGGGGGAGCAGGAGTTGGAATGGTGGAGCAACATTCTCATACCCAAGAGGAGATGCACAGGGAGCACCAACATCTAAACAGTGCCCATTTTACAAGAAAATACCAGGTAAGGAATGGAGATGTTGATCTGAAAATGCAAGTAAAAGCAATCGAGTTTAGTACACTAGGTTGGCTTTTAAAATTCCTGCCACAAAACAACAATGGAACTTAGTCAGCATGCCTGTAGCTAAGGGTTTATGTCATATCCTAACCACTTTCTGTTTGCTACATGTAGGAACCACATTTGTTGTGGATGCCTTTCGCTATGGTACCATCCCGGGATGCACGGCATACTTCCTGAGCCACTTCCACTATGATCATTACCAGGGGCTCAGCAAGCACTTCCGACATGCTATCTACTCAAGCAAGGTATGTGCACAGATGTCACTGTGTGTCTTCATGACCTCCCAACACACAAACTGAATAAAATACGTTGTACATCAAATTAAAAAAAGAACTTCACAAAAACTCTAAATATTTTACAGAGGTTTACTTGTTTGTCTTGAAGATGGATGTGATGTCTTGTTGCCCAGGTAACCTGTAACCTTGTGAAGAAGAAGATCCGTGTGGCAGACAGGTACCTGCACCCCTCCCCTGGGCACCCCCTGTAACCGTGGAGGGGGTACAAGTCACTCTGCTGGAGGCAAATCAGTAAGTTGTCTGGTTTCTCTGGTTTCTGGAGTACATGTATTATTGGGTTGACTGACTACTCTCCCTTCACAGCCAAGGGCTGATGTGACGATTCTTCTCCTGATGATGAGAGTGTTTAAAGCTATGTGATGTAAGTGCAATTCCTAAAAGAGGATGAAATAACCCCTGTATGTGTTCCTGTGCAGCTGCCCAGGTGCTGTGATGTTCCTGTTCCAGCTGCCAGATGGGAAGAACCTGCTGCACACAGGTGAGACACTTGCACCTGGTAGACGTCTGAACTTCTACCCCACCAGTGCCATGTATGAGGGACGACAATGTTTTCCCTCTCTATCCCCCCATTCCTCCAACATAGAATCTATATCTGTGTGTATAGCCCTTTGGTGTAACACACCAGCTTGGAAGGCATACTTCCTGGAAGTCTCTGATACATGTATCTCTGATTTCTTGTTCCAGGAGATTTTCGAGCAGACCAGTCAATGGAGTATTACCCTGCACTGACTGGACGCAAAGTTCACACACTCTACCTGGACACCACGTAAGATTATGTTGTATGATTTAGTATAATCAATATCAAGGTGCACCCACATTACAGAAGTAAGTGCACAGCTCCAAATTTGGGTGCACAAAGCTGCATAAGCACCCAGTATTTCCAGCCCTGCAGTGTCTTACCATTCAAAGACATTCAAACTACTCAATCAATGAGTTGTCATCTAATCTCTTACTGTAGTGAAATTTGCTGTAACAGTTACATGATTTATTATCATTCTGGTGGCCAAATGGTTTTGTGTGTCCGTGCCAGGTACTGTGACCCAGCCTACAGCTTCCCTGCCCAGACTGATGTGATAGAGTTTGCAGTCAGTGTGGCAGTAGAGGCCGTACAACAGAACCCTAAAACTCTCATTGTCTGTGGCTCCTACACTATAGGAAAGGAAAGGGTCTTCTTTGGTGAGCATGCTTTATCTTTACAGAGAATGACTGCTTAAAGTTTATCTTTGTTGGTTTAGCACTAAGATATGAGTGCTTAGCATTGACTTAATCTGTTGGCTACTGAATTCTTATTGCTTAATTTCATGTAACCCAAGCGATCCCTTCTGTTCTTCACAGCCATAGCAGAAGCCTTGTGCTGTAAGGTTTGTGTGACTCGTGAGAAGAAGAACACGCTGGACTGCCTGGAGTCAGACCAGGTGAAGAGGCTGGTCACCCTGAATGGCCTGGAAACCAGACTACATGTGCTACCCATGAAGGACCTAAAATTCAATGTGAGTATAAAACTTTTACTTTATTCATATTGCAACAGATTATTTGATTGCTTCATGTAACTACTGATAAGTAGTATGGTAATTGCTTGGATAATTATTATGTACATTTCTTTTATTGTCATACAGAACCTGAAGAGCTATCTGGAGAGATACAAGCCGCGGTATGACAGTGTGCTCGCCTTTGAACCAACAGGCTGGACCCACAGCAATAGTGTTTCCACTGTGGCAAATATCAGGCCAAAGAGACAGGGCAACATCACTGTATATGGTAATACAATGTTTATTTCATTGAAAAGCATTTGATACATAGATGACAATTGTTACAAATGTGCAATAAACATACCCTGCTTTAAAATAGAACCCATGACTCAAAGGATACCGTAATTGAGTATGGAATTTTTCTTTGCAGGTATTCCGTACAGTGAACATTCCAGCTACACCGAGATGAAGCGGTTTGTGCAGTTCCTGCGGCCGGTGAAGATTCTGCCAACTGTCAACAATGGATCACCCAAGTCCCGCCGTGCCATGGAGAGGATCTTCCAGCAGTGGTCGTCCGAGGGGAAACAGCAGTCTATGGCATCATGGATCAAATAGAGCTGCAAATAATGCAGAGCACACTTGATAATGTTTCAATGTCATTCAACTCTGACAAAATTTATTTATTTAATCTTCAAACACCTGGGTAACCCCTATGACATTTCTTAATTTCCAAGGGGGCCCAGAATACATAAAATGTAGGAGACATTAGTACATAGGCTACATAAGATATAGTTACATGTATAGCCTGTTTCAGAATTTCTCTTCTTTTAAGAAATGTGATATGATGCGTAACGAGTAGCTACAAAGTCTTTACTTATTGAAAAAGTGAATAGATTAATGGAGTAATTCATTAAGATATACTATGTAATAAAGACAAATATCTTTCATATCTTTGTGTGTGGTACAAGAGCATAAACCAATGTGATGAAATCTTTATTTGTTGTTTGTTGTTTTTTTCAGTCCAAAAATAAAAACAGTTGTTGCAGGGTGTCCTGCTGTTATTCCTTTATTCTGTCATCTTGTAAATATGATATCTGGGGTAATCCTAGCCTTTTGTGCGATCACTTTAAGTTATTTACAAAACACATTGGAGAATTCAAAAGAAAGAAGCTATAAAAAAGTATTCCTAACTAAGGCCATACAGCCTTAATAAAATGGATGACACCAATTTCCATCCATTTCAAAAACAACAAAAAAGCATGCCATACTGTTTATTTAGATGTTCAAAGGAAAAAAAATAATGATGCCAATCTTCATAATCAATCAATATGATTGAAGCTCCTTGCTTGCACCATCAAGTAACATTAATGTTATTCCAAAGTCAAAGAAGATGTGAAAGAACAAAAAGAATTTGTTGTTTTGTATACCATTCCCTGTGTGTTCATTTGTTCAGCTTTCCCCTTTAATTAGATGTCATCTAAAGTCAACTTTTTGTCGCACGCTTGCATCAGTTTTGGAGTGCCCGTTGGATATGATATCATCCATGTTATTACATTAGTTTGGCCTAAAGTACAGGTTGGCGAAAGTTTGTCCGCGGCCTGTGATTGGCTGATTCCCGCGGTCATCTCGGGTCAGGGAGGCGGGGCCGTTCTCTTTCAACATGGCCGCCACAAGGTAAACATGTGATCTGGAGTTGTGTGAATTCGTGGCAGATGTTTGGGGTAAAATGGCATTCGATGGGAATATTTTTCATCAGCAATTCATAATCCAATCACTTGTGGAGAAATGGTGGTTTCTGCGACCTTGGTTTTACCATCTTGTGCACTATAACGGTACATTTGTGCCTAAGGTTATATCCGGTTGAATCGTCTTTTTCGGTATAAAAAATACCTCAACCCAAGGATATTTAATATCTTCTTGCTCAACCCAAGTTTTTTTTTTTGCTGCTTGTGAAGGTTTTCGTGCAAAAAGAACAGTTTTACTGATCCAACGTTTATCAACATGTACAGGCATATGTTGTGACTAGTGACGTAACTTCGACATGATCTCCTTTGTTTTCTTCACCTCCAATTTCCAAGCAGATCTGGGGAGGAAAGAAAGAGTTTTTCCCGATTGAAACTCGTCAGAAAAAAATGTGATGATCTTGCACCCCGAGTTACAGAATTCGGCAGTGTAATGCCAATTATAGCACCGCACTTAAAATATGGGAAGCCAAACAACAGCATAATTTGCATTTGCACTCAGCAAACAATGGTAGGCTGCAGTCAAATACAGGTGTGGACCACCTGAAGCCCTTTTGACCTTCTCCCTACTGCCTAACTTTGTAACCTGAATTAAGGGCCAAATGGCGTTAAAGGTCAACACTGATGCTATTTTGATGTGGTTTCAATGATTTTATATTACAATTTTGGTCAAAAACATTCCACATCAGTTAAGATCAATTGTGGAATTTTCATTGCATGTTTGAAGAACAAAAGAACAAAGGTAGCGGGCCCCATTAGGATTGAATGGCAATGGCAATGGCAATGGCAATGAACTTTGTTGCATATTCATGTCCAACATGGGTTAAATGCATTTAAGTTAAGTTAAATGACAAAAGGAGATCAGTAGAAAAACTATGCTATATTTCATCTATTTCTACTCATTTCATCTAACGTTATATGTAATGATAAAGATAGAAATAAATGGTAACAAAGATCTGTCTCATACCAGTGTTTGTGGGTCTCAGACAAGTGTTTTCCACCTCACAGTACCCCCTGCTCAACCGTGCCCACAACCAGAAGCTGACCGGCAGCCAATGGGACGGCATCGTGCTGGTCACTGATGACCCTTCCAAGCTGGACGGCAGTCTGTGTGTCTTTAAGGAGGCTATCCAGGCTTATAAGGAGGTGGGGCCAGTTGGAAATTGTTATCTTAAGACATTTGACAATGAACTTTATTTTATATTCATGCCCAACATGGGTATTCATTAAGTTCATGACTAGAGTAGAACAGTAGGAAAATAATACAGTAACTATACTTCATCTAACTGTTATATCCACAAAGTCTCTTCTAGTGTCTAGGCAAATTTTTAGGCAGTTTTTCCATCATATAGTTTTTAGATGATGAAAGATTCATGTCCTTTGAACATTTCATCCTTTGTTGCATATTTCTTGGTTTGATGATACATAGGACTGTCCATTGTTTCAAGAAGTATGATTTTGGTTACTCTCGCAACTTCTGATTAAAGAAGTTAACATGGAAGAACAGACTGATGTTGAGTGTTCAAATTTGTAACAAGATGTTTTTGTCTCCTTGTCGTATTTTCAGGTTGACAGTGGTGCAGATGGTGAGGCTGTTGTCATCCCTCTCCCCAGCCTGCCTGCCAAGAGGCTGGTAAGACTAGAACTTTTGATTGCATGTACCAGATATATGTGGAATTTACTATATACATGTACAACCACAAGTCTATCATCTAATCCCTACCAAGATTGTGTGTGTAGGACAATATCTAAAAAAAATGCCTAAATTCTACAAATGATGGTAAAATTACATTCTCATCACATACTACATAGTCTAATTTGTGAGGTAGATTAGTCTAAAATTAGTAGTACTCAGTCCTGATGCCATATGCTGTGCCTTACACAGTTTTGCATCCTCTTACATCCAGTTTTGGTTCAGACCAAAGCATTCTAGAAGTGTGTTTCACTTTCCTGTAGTCTTAAGGCAGTGGAATACCTGAGTGTGTAAAACTGTACTGTTGCATACAAGAGACAGACATGTTCTTACCTCTCCAGGTCTATGCCTGTACTGGCCCAGTGACACGTGACATCGATGATGTCCGCAGGTTTTACGATGCGGCAGTGAAGGGCTTACAGAGGTGGGTGATCAGTGATTAACCCTCTCCCTACCGTGATCCCATCTTTGCCCCTGATTTATACAGCAGGAGGGGTTTAATTGAAAGTGTTGTAACAATACTTGATTGAAATGTTTGAAACACATTTTGGTAGCAATTGCTGTTGATGCACAGGAGGTAGCAAAGTTTCTCCACAGCCACTGCCTGGCCTTAAGTACAGTGTCTGTTTCCGGGCAAGAATTGGGCTCATTAGACACACCTAGACTCAGGGTTGTCATCAACAATGATGCAAGAACATCATCATCATCATCAATGCTTGTACATGTACACATGTATCTCTATTATGTCTGAAACAGCTGGTTGAGTGTTAATGTCCCCACATGCAGGGCCCTGAAGGCAGGCTGTAAGTCTCCTCTGCTGGTGTGCCCCGCCCATCCTGCTTATGACCATGCCCGTGGTGTGGCCACTATGGGGGCACTGCACGCTCTGTATGTGGTAAGTTGAAGGGCTTATACTTGTAGCTTTATCTAGAATCTATAATAGGTAACATTGACTACAGTGCTTTGATAACCTAATTGCTTGTGCAGGGTTCAACTTGTTTAATATGGAAGTAAAAATGCCATAAGGGTGCCAAGCTTTGATTCATTCAGTTGATGATTCAAACCAGTGAAAATTCTATCAATATCTCCATCATAAAAATGATTTTTAACTTTTTAAAAGATTAGTTCTGTATTTTAGCCTCTAGAGATCCGACAGGATGTTCCGGATCGTGCCACCAAGGCCCGGCAGCTGGGGGTGTGGGCTGACTCTGAAGAGGTCGCAAACAACATAGCAAAAAGGGTTGGGGAGCTGGAAAGTGGAAGGTGAGAGAAAAATTGAACATACCTTCTTCACAACTTATTGAACACTGGAGACTGGTGCCACATTGGAAGAGTTTTATTGTTTTAAATTTGTGGGTCAGCTGTCAGTGGAACAGAAGAAGAAAAATCATATGTCAGCTTACATAGGAATTAAAAATAAGTGCTTTAAGCTGATATCATTCAATAACTATATTAGAGGTCTACCATTGTGTCATATAACTGATAGTATGATATAGACCAGCTAATGATACCATGTTATAGCTACCGGGTATGTTTACCTAACTTTGGTATATCTTTATATGGGTAAGACATCCTGTAGAAATAGATGCAGTGAAACCTTTTGCATCTGCTAACAAATGTGTTGGTCCTGTTGGATCCCCTGTCCAGGATTGTTGCCCGTGACATCGGAGGGTCGGACCCGGAGCGCATGGCGGCGCCGCGGGTGGTGGAGTACCTGCAGGAGAAGTTCAAGGACACTCCCATCAAGATGAGTGTGACCTCTGACCCCGCAGAGCTGGAGGAGAAGTATCCTCTCCTGGCTGCTGTCAACCGCTGTGCCAAAGGTATCATGTTATGTTAACCTGTGTTACACAATCTCTCGCTGTCAGGGGCTGATAGGGCCTCCTCCCAAAGAGTTGGAGAGAACCATAACTTACCTCATTCCCAAAACTACCAATAAGAGCTCAGGATTCATATCACTATGGAAACCAGTCATCCCAGCCTCATGCACCATGGTAACAGGCAGTTCTCATATTGAAATAGGATTAGGAATTCTCCTGACTGACTGAGAAGTGTTGGATATGAAGCTTCTAGGAACCTGACCAGTGGCAGGGCTGCTCGAAGTGTGATATAGTCAGGCTACGGCTGTTAAGGGATGTGTCTAGGATCCTTATAACCCTTGAAATTAGCCTTTGGAAATGAGCTTGCAAATAAAGTTTGATTGACTGGTGAATATTTTCAGCCGTGCCCCGTCACCACGGGCGAGTCATCCACCTGGAGTACACCGGTGAGGGGGAAGTGGATAAGACACTGCTGTTGGTGGGGAAGGTAACTACAGGGCCTTGTATGACAGTATTCAATTACACACAGTCAACCACTCCCTGAATTCCTACCTGGACAAGCATACACACAAACCCACCCAAAACAATACCTCTGTACCTGGAGGTTATAACTTTTTTTTGTTGCAGCTACTGTTAACTGCCTCATCCCCTGATGTTGTATGTTGTGTCTGTTCCAGGGTATCACCTATGACACGGGTGGTGCAGATATCAAGGCAGGGGGAGTGATGGCGGGCATGCACAGGGACAAGTGTGGGGCTGCTGCTGTGGCCGGATTCTTCCAGGTACCACAGGAACACTGCAGCTGGGTGAACATGGTTTCAGGGCACCAGAATTCTAATGTTACTGGGGTCAGCTCTGACGTGGATGCATTGGATCCTTAGTGGCTGTACCCAATTCATCAATGGAGAATGAGATTGTAGTGTTTGTATTGCCAAAGTCTTAGTTTGTATTTCATATCGATTTGTCTTCATGGGCAGTTATGCACTCCAGTGTGTCCCTTCATGGACCAAAAGTACCAATGCAACATGTAGTACCATGTGCAATCGGCTGGTAACATAAGTGGTTGTGGCTGGGAATACGAAAAATTTGACACTACTACTTTCCAGATACATGTATGGAACTTGACTTTTTTGTTAGGTCCTGAATGCGATGCGTCCCAAGAAGCTGCGGGTTCTGGGTACGCTGGCTATGGTGAGGAACAGTGTGGGGGCAGGTGGGGCACCTCTGATATGTTGTTAAGTTTCTTTCTGTATGGAAGAGAAAGGAATTGCCTTCTCTGGAGGCTAGACTCTAGACTGTCTTTCCATAGGGCACAAGTTTGGGATTTGCTAGGGATTTAACACCCAGAACCTTCAAATTTTTTAACATGAGTCAACCCACAAGACTGCCTTGCCATCTAAAATATGTCTTGATTTCCCAGACTGCTACGTGGCGGATGAGCTAATCACGTCACGTGCGGGTGTCCGTGTTCGTGTGGGGAACACCGACGCGGAGGGTCGGATGGCGATGACAGATCCGCTGTGTGAGATGAAGGAACGTGCGCTGAAGGAGACCAACCCAGAACTCTTCACCATCGCAACTCTGACGGGCCATGCCATCCGCGCCATGGGACCCAACTACTCTGTAAGGCTGTTTGTATAGCAATACCATTTTAATTTGCTGGTTCTCCAATTTTAAAAAAATATGCCAAAACTAACTGGCAGAACACAATGAAACCAAAGCCTGAGTACCAGATTAACTTTATGCCTTGGAGTCTTAGTCTCTTGAACTCAGTCTTATGTCATATTCAAGTTCCCTCTACTTTTCTCATTAATCTCTCTCTCCTCAGATCATCTTGGACAATGGCCCAGCCCGGAAGCTGCAGACTGCCCAACAGATGCAGCAGGGTCAGTTTGGGCTTCCTTGTTATGTATAGTCTTAGGAGACACCTGTAGTCTATAGCTAGTAGTGGCTTTGCTAGCTCTGTCGTGTGATTGCTTCTGATTTAATGGTCTTGTGTTTATTGATGACAGGATATAAGATAAGCCTAATTTCTTCTTTGTTGGTGAGAACTGTTACATGTACTTAATCTGTTTGGTAACAAATCTTCATGATTGTTGCTTTTTGTTTTCTCCTCTGCAGCTGGCCATGAGTTTGCTGACCCATTCGAGATCTCCACTCTGCGTAGGGAGGTATGTTATGACTCTCAACAGATGAGGAAAGTTTCCTGTGCCTGTAGGTACTTTTGGATTCAAATAAGGGAAAATTCATGAAGAGAAATATCTACCAGTAGGTAGAAACCTTGAACTTAGTACAATGTAATACCTAGGTTTGGCTGATGGATTAACATGATTAAATTTGTTTGTTGCTTGATTAACTCTAAAAGTAACATTTGCACTTTGTCAGGACTTTGACTTTATCCGTGGGAGGTCTGAGTATGAGGATGTCCTGCAGTGTAACAACCAGCCATCCTCCGCGACCCCCCGTGGTCATCAGTTCCCCGCTGCCTTCATGATGCAGTCTGCCGGACTGGACAAGGTTAGCGTCATGTCTGTGTGATGGTGTGTGGATGTTTGTGTTGTCACCAATGTGTGGTAGTGTGGTAGTGATGGTAGAGGAAATATAGTTTATTTCAAACTGATCCTTCTACATGACGTACCATCACCAAAGAAGGGAGCTCTTTAGTTTAAAGAAGCCACTAAATTCCATCCTTAGTTTTTCTCCGTTCACAGTTCACAAAACTGACAATGTTTAAAAAAAGAAGCCAAACCCAACAAATAAGTAAAGAGTGACTCTCAACATTTACAATAGTCACATTGTATTCTTCATCTTTATCATGCTACGATGTGATGTACTTGCAACAAACAAACAAAACAAAAAAAAACAAAATTGTAAAAATGTAAATTTAGATAAAACATCAAAAGTTGAATATTTTATGGACATGTAGCCTCTCTCTCATTGGTTGAACTGATAATTGTGATGGTCAGGATCAGCCTAAAGAATATAGCTTTCAACAATCTGCAATAAATGTATTTATTATGACATTGGCAACGAGCTACATGTATATACTGCCCCCCCCCCTCCAGTATGGCTGTGACTCGGCCCACCCCCTGCCCTACTCCCACATGGACATCGCTGGATCCTCTGGACCCTTCCCAGGGGTCCCCACTGGTGCTCCCATCATCGCCATGGCAGCCAAGTACATCTACCCACGGCTGTGAGGCAGAGGGCACGCCGGAGAAGCATTGATGGCGGCCTGACTACATCATGTTCCTAGCAGCCCTCTCACTGATCAGGACCCTCGCCTGATGATGTCATGCTTCTACAAATCAACATGATTAGAATGTTCCCAATAATTCTCCTGACATAGAAATGTTGGCTATACCATGCTTATTAAGGTGCCTGATCAGTGGAAGGGCTGCTAGAACCATGAGGTTATAATAGAAGTTCTAGCAGCCCTTACACTGGTGAGGCCCCAGTCTGAATACATCACAGTTCTTGTAGCACCTCCACTGGTCAAGCCTATAGAAGCTTGATGGCCAACACCTTTAAGTCAGGAGAATTATATTTTGAACATTCCATTCCTGTTATTTAATTTGTGCACATCTTCTAACAAGGACCAATCATTATTAATGCACCTTTGCTGTAATCGCACAGTGACAGATAAGGATGGTATAGTTGCTGATATTATTCTTTATCATCATAGTTAAATTTTGGAATCATCTGCCATATGAATAGTCTGGTTTCATAAATATCAAGGAAGAATGTCTAAACATTTGATGTAATGGCAAGAAGTTTTGGTAAAATTCTGAAAAACACAGGATTGCAATTGTGCTTACATGTATCCACAAAATTGAAGAGAACTGTCAGTATTTGATTGAAAAACATGAAATAATAACGGATAGAGATATATGATGCAGAAATGTCACAGATCTAAATTGTTAACTGTTGTTATTAATTACTGAGGTATCAAATAGTATCACCATCATGGTTCATTGTTAAGTATTTGCAATGTAAATCATGAGTGAAAAAAATAAAGGATACATTTGATTCTGAAAAGACTTTTCATATTGATGATGAACCTTATGTGCCTCACTCCAAAACTTTTTGATGTCAGCCAGTTGATTGTCATAGTGCAGACCTCCAAGCAGAGGTTTCAGTCAGTTCTTCCTTTAGATCCTTTATTTCTAAAGAAAAATGAATCAAATTGTGGCCATTACAAGGGAATAAACCCTGAACAAAACATCTGCTATATATATAGAGTAACTTTGATGCATTGTATTATTTGGAATTCATATTTTTCTGTTCCTGATATAGAATGAGCTCAACGCTAAGTCAACATCATTACAGTCCTTGCAATTGAAGAATGAATCACTCTCTGACTCTCGAAAAGAAATGTCGTATGATGACATGTATTTTGGAGTTAATTTGTCCTGCGACCTTGGACTTTTACGTGCAACTTCTTTGTGACTTTCGTGTGCTTCTATTTCTCTGTCTGTGTCATTGCTGGCTCTGTTCTTAGAGACAGAGTATGCACGGCAGCTATACCTGGACTCTCCTTTACCTTTTACTGATAACTGTTCATTTGTGTCTTCAGTTCCATCCATATCATCCAACAGTATCTCATCCATTTTTTCAGTAAATTTAGGATTGTAGTTAGACTTTTCTTGCTCTCTCTTCTGAGGCAAACAGTTAGAAAAGCCCTCCTTATCAACCACCTCACAACTGTTTGGTTTTGAAGAGTTTGAGCTTTTCAGTTTTGAACCTGACTTGAGTAGATTCAGAACTCTTCTTTTCTTTAGTATTTTCTTTCTGGGGGTATTTATTTCTTTTACAGGAGTTTTCCTTGTGGATTTGTCCTTATTACTGTCAACCCTAGATGTCACATTCTTGTGTTTAGTTACAGTTTTACTTTCCACTGAAGAATAAGGTTTTGCATTTTGATATTTTGACATTTTTCTTTTCTTGATAACACTGCTGTCTGAATCAGAGGAAATGTTAGAAGCATTTTTCAGTTTGTCCAGTGTACCTAACACTGCAGTCTTCTCAGAGTTGAGCCGTTTTGTACCCTTGGCCCTGTGTACCACTGATGCCATGACTTGACATCCTGTTGTAGATAGGTCTAGTGTAGTCTCTGATGGTATGTCTGATTCCGATCCTCTTAAGTTTATCTCGTCATTATTGTTGAAATCTGTCTCTGAGAGACTGAGGTTCATCTCGTTATTGTTTAAGTCTGAATCCGAGACTCTGAGCCTTATTTCCTTGTTATCGTCTGCTACAGTGTTCTCTAACAGTTCCGAACTGTCCTGACAACACTCTGAAAAATGGTTATCTCGTCTCATTTCCCTTTGTTTACCATCTGGCAGTGACGACCCCCAAACCTCTGAGTCCTGCTTAGAGATGTGCCACTTCAGCTCTGGAGTTGGCTGATGCTCCAGTCTTCCTTCCACTGCAGGCATGAGACTGGGTTGCCTGTACATGTGTGCCATGGTGCCTCTCTTGGGTGTGAGGACTCATTCAGAGGTGGGTCAAAGGGCATGTTGTTGCCATGGTGATGACCCTGTTCTTTTTTCATCCCATTCCAGACTTCTACAACAGCATCCATGTCGTCATTGGTTTTGAAGATGGTGGCAGAGACTGGGAGGGGGAGTATTGCTCAGCAACATCACTTACTGAGGGGCTGCTGATCAATGCTGCTTGTGCTGGCTTCTCTGGAGTGGGAGAGGCTGGGAACAGAAAGGACTACTTTTATTGCCTTAAAAAAGTTTTCTCACTTTCGCTGAAAATATTTGCATAGACTTTAAGTGACTATTTTTCTCACCTTGCTTTAAGTAGCAGTGTGACCAGTGTCGACGTCACACGCACCTTGGACTGATCACTGTCCTCTATTAAAATACCCGGATGAAATAGACACGAGTGTCTCTCGCTAGTGGTCCGGATCCCAGCAAGTAGGCAGTTCACAGAAGACCAAAATAACACTGTTATGTAAATTCTCAAGAAGAACAGGCTTGTGGGAAAGCAAATGATCGCTTTTCTTTTTTGAAAAGAATTCTATCCATATAACATGCAATTGTAAAACATGCAATACAAATAACTTTTAACTCATATTTCTATTGAAATGATTTCAGCGTTCGATGGTTAACTTGGGAAAAGCGGAGTGATAATGATTAAGAGAGGTGTTGTTGAACCTTTACATGAAAATGCAGTCGAAAGATGCAATTTGTTTCCAATTCGCTAACAGAAAATGTCGCTCGCGCTCTAGAAGAATACTAAAATAGCGCTAACTGCAATGTGTTAATATCCCGCTAGGGACCGCTTCTGTACCATGTTCAGCTGTACCGATGTAGCGGTGTCTACACTGCGGCGTAGTGATGAAGCTCCTGACAAATTATGTTGTATGCATGGCGCACACGCTTCGTAAGATGTTTTTCCTTGTATAGGAGATAGTAAGACAGAGTAACCTTAACTGTTAACGTAATTTGATAACGCTGCTTTCCAAGAGAAATATGTTTGTTGACGGCGACACCCATGCCCCCCTCCCCCATTATTTGATGATGCTCAAAGTAAAGTTTTCTTAACTTAAAAGGTTACATTCTCCTCTTGTCTTGCCCCAAGCTAAAAAGGTGGAAAACAATTAAAAGGAAACAAAATTAAAACATGCCTAAAATGTGTGTAAAAAGTGTCATGAATGTTTGTCGCAATGTATAGATACAATTTCAGATATTGTTGCTTTAAAGCTGGTATTGTTTCTCTATTGTCTTGATGAAATGTTTTTCCACTCTCAGGATCAGAGCCAATATCATTAAACCTCAAGATCAAGTTCAACTCTGACTTCATGCTGTCCTGATGCTCAGTGAAGATTATAAGTAAATATAACATTAACGTTAACGTTAATCATATAATGTTAGAAAAGTGAAAGGCCTCAGAGCTGATCATGAATTTATATACGCGGTCAATAAACTTAAGATTGAAATATGAGTGACGAAAGACACCACAAACATAGACGGGAAGAAAAGCAACATGGAAAGAAAAAAAGCAGCAAGGATACTTCAAGAGATGACGACCATAGGAGGAGAAAACATCATCACAGAGGTGAAGATAGACAGTCTGATCGGGACCAGTCTGGAGGGTATGGGGAAACAATAAGACATCAGGGTGCCTCATGTTCTCATGAGGTTCATCATAGAGACAGAGAGAAGGAAGGTTCTAGTGAAGGATACAGAAAGAAGCATGGTAGAAGTGACAGAAGGAGGGAAGAAGATGAGGAGAAACATAGGGACAGGCACAGAAAAACTGAGGTGTTGGGAGATAAAGACAAGGAAAAGTACAGAGGCAAACATATGCATGATAGACTGAGAGAGGATGCAAAAGCCAGGGACAAGCATGGTAGAATGGAGGGAAGGAGAGATGAGGAGGAGGAGGAAGAAGAAGAGGAGTGGGGCCGTCAGGAGATGTGGGAGTTTAATTGGGAGGAGTACAGGTCAACTCTCAACAAGATCTTCTTTCGTGACGAGGATTTTATTGAGAGGTATGTTCTGAAGTTGACTTCAACTTACAAATATGTTTTAATTATATATATAAGTTACATATAGGTTTTGACACCATGACATTTTTCAAGTAAAATGTTAACATTATCCATGATAACTCAAACTGTAAGTTGTCACTATTGTGGATTGAGTACAACACTCATGTGCATGACTGTCTTCTGTCTCCCAGGGGAACTCCAGAGTATGCTGACTTCTGGGCATTCTTCCACCGATACTGTAAGTTCCAGAGGAAGAAGTCAGCTGAACAGAAACCACACAAATCACACCCCAACCCACCGCAGGAACAGCAGAAAACACTGGGACTACCAGAGAAATACGACAAGAGATACAGAATCAACTTCTCCATCAAGACTAAAGATGTGGAGGAAAAACTCAAGTACTTAAGGACAGGCTCAAGGACCAATGGTATTAAATGATAGAATGACTCCATTTGATTCTCTACCAAACTCCCATTTGTTGCTGGAAATAGTACATGTGGAAATTGACGTGTAATAGGAATAATACATGTAGCTATAGAACACTTTACAACCCATTGGAGTCTGGTAGAGACTCAATGCCTCAATTTCAGTTTGAAATCTTGAAAGTCCAGTAGAACTTGATGCAGTCCTTAAAATTATCTGTCGATCACAAAGAATGCATCTGTTTGTAACCTTCCAGATGACGAGGATCTGACCCCCAGCCGAGTGGCCGAGTTCCGTCTGGCTCTACTCCACTACATCGACTTCTGTCAGAAACAGAAGGTAACACTGAGCTGAACTGGTGCTAAGGTCTTCTGTGCTTGATTCGTATCAAGACATTATATTGAAGTAACTGAAAAAATTCATACATTGGCTCATTAAATGTTATAAGCCCCGATAAGCATGTTTTTTTTTTGGCAGTTGAAGCAATCCCTCACATATAGACCTGACAGAATAATATATGGATCTGGTATAACATTTGTAGGCAATTTCTGTATTCTGTATACTATTTGAGATTGTAGAGATTCCTCAATAAGCATATTGTGTAAAACTGTAAGGACTGTGTGGTGCAGACATTGACCATTTGCCTGTGTCCACCTCCAGCTGCAGAAGCTTGCTAAGCTGCGGCAGGACCAGGCCAGCCTGCCAATTCACCAGTACAGGGACCAGATCGTGGAGGCAGTCAGGCAGCACCGCGTGGTGGTGGTGGCAGGGGATACCGGCTGTGGGAAATCTACTCAGGTGAACCATCTCTCTCAACTTCATGGATGCACAGTACATAACAACAGCTATTAGCTACCATATACTGATACTGCATCTACAGACTGGTCACAAGCAAAAGAAATTCTACTACTAGTATCAGACTTCTTAGTACTGTTGCCGCTGGTGTAGTCCAGTGGTTAGCAACCCTGCCTCTGGACCAGGAGATAGTGTGTTTGAATCCTAGCTGTTGTCGCTTACCTAAAGAAAATGAATTAGAAGAATAGAATAAATAAATTATTCATGTATACAGTATATTTGGTTGCGTACTGATTATCTCCATGTGTTACATTGTTCTCCCTCAGGTGCCCCAGTATCTCATGTCAGCTGGCTTTACCCGCATCGCGTGCACCCAGCCCCGCCGTATCGCTTGTATCTCCCTCGCCAAACGTGTCGGGTACGAGACTCTGAACGAGTACGGGTCAGAGGTCGCCTACCAGGTCAGGTTTGAGGGGAGTAAGACAGCTTCAACTAGGATTCTGTTCCTCACTGAAGGTGACTTGCTGTGATTGTTGTTTATTCATTTGCACATAAAAGGATGCAAATCATAATGGCAACATTATATTAGGCATGTTTCTAATATCCTATTCAGTACCCAAGGAACCGACTGATAGATTGTAACTGTTTGGTTGTGTTTGTACTGTGCAGGCCTGCTGCTTAGACAGGTGACAACTGACCCCACCCTGTCCCAGTACAGCATCATTGTCCTGGATGAAGTAAGTCTTTACCCTTTCTCTTTTCTTTTGTCAGGGTAGACCAGCTCATGATCAGTGACTTTGCACTCCTTTGTAGTGGTGCCCTGGATATACATGAATGATACTTAAACACAATGCAAATGAAAGAAAATTTAGTACAAACAATTGTCAAATCCAAACCATGTAACATAAATTATGATCAATGTGTCTGTGGACCACCATAGTTTTTTTAGCCCTGCTCACACTAGCTAGGGCAATCCCTCATGAGTATAGGGCAATCCTGTGTCAGGAGTTGTGCAATGCTGCCACCTAGCAGTTATTCTCGTGTCTGCAGGTCCATGAGCGGCACCTGAATGGTGACTTCCTGCTGGGCGTGCTGCGAGCGCTGCTGCGGGCGCGGGAGGACCTGAAGATGGTCCTCATGTCAGCCACCATCAACATCAAACTGTTCGCTGGGTACTTCAACGGGGCACCGGTCATACAGGTGAGAGGGGAATATTCAGATAGCAGTACATGTACTATCAAAACTGGCCACTCGGGACAGGGGACAGATGGTCCCTATAGACAGAATTCTTTGTGCTTGTGTTGACGGGAAAAATTGAATACATGTAAGGGACCACCAAAGAGTGGTCACTTTGGACAGGTGGCCTTAAATAGAGGTCGTCTCTAATGCAGGTTTGACTGTACCTCATAACATCTTATTAAGAAGCTATCAACATGCCAGCTAACATTGGATCTCAGTAGACTGCAAAAATGGGATCTAGATTTAGATAATGTAAATGACAGTGCAGTCCCTTCTGTGCTCCGCAGGTCCCTGGCAGACTGTACCCTATTCAGCTGGAGTATCTCCCTATCAAACAGGAGGTAAGACTGGACAACTTTCTGTATTTATTCGTTCATCATCAGTGAAATTTAGTGAGAAAAAATTAGTTATATTTATTATCTGTGTACATAGTCAAAACAAGACTTCTAACAAATACATCTCACTAAGAAATGGTGTCAATGCCCTTATAGCATGTTTTTCTACCCCAGGAGCAGACCAGTAAGTCAGAGAGACTTGACCCCCGACCTTACCTGAGGGTCATGCAGAGGATTGACCACAAGGTGAAGAATGCCTTAACCAGAGTTATTTGTTAAATTTCAAGTTGTGCTGCCTGTCACTATAGTGTACTGTCTGTTTGCATGCTGAATGGAAGAATAAATAGCTATAATATAAAACTGTGATGGGCCTGAAGGCTACTAATCACCATAAATCTCCAATATCTCCTGCTCTTCCATGACCTAGTATCCCGGTACAGAGCGCGGAGACCTGCTGATATTCCTGAGCGGGATGTCGGAGATCACAGCCGTGGTGGAGGCTGCCCGGCTGTACGCACAGCAGACCAAGCGCTGGATCGTCCTGCCCCTGCACAGCACGCTGTCCATAGAGGAACAGGACAAGGTAGGGTCGGCATTCCCTGGGGGACAGGTTATAGATTTAGATTTTAGTACGGTGATGAAGGTTAGGTTAGGTGATTAGTTTCAGATTATTATACATTTGTACATAAATGTTGACTAGTTCTGAGGGTGTATGTTCTTTTTGTTGAGAGTACAGCTGCTATGCATTTGTGCCTCAGATGCCTATTGATATTTTGTATTATCCTATGTACATGCAGTACTGGCAAAAAGTGGTAGGGGGCGTTTAGCTTAATGATATTCTATGATGTTGTGTATTGTGTGCAGGTGTTTGACATTGCCCCTGAGGGTGTGCGGAAGTGCATCGTGTCCACCAACATCGCTGAAACCTCCATCACAATCGACGGTGTCAGGTTTATATGTGACTCAGGGAAGGTATGTGTAATATACATGTAAAATATTTTTTGTCTGCTAAAAATGATTCTTTTTCTGACAAACAGGAGTTTTTTTTCTGAGAAACATGTACATGTATCACATCTTCCACAGGTGAAGGAGATGAGTTATGACCCGGGTGCTAAGATGCAGCGTCTTCAGGAGTTTTGGATTAGCCGAGCGAGTGCTGAGCAGAGAAAGGGCAGGGCAGGTATGAGAAGATGCCGCTACTATCTAAGATTAGCTGTTTTTGCGATGAACATCAACAAACCTTTATAGATGGCTGATATTGTGTAGTACTATATTTGTGTTGAAATGTCTTTGGTAATGGCTAGGTGATTGATCACAAATAATAAAATTGGCATTGACATTTGCCTGGCAATAATTAAGACCCCACCATCCACAATTTAGACTATACAACTGATTAAGATACATGTCGCAACCTAAGGGAGGAGAGCAAGGCACCAGCCATGCAGACAAGCAAACCAGAACATTTTGTATCCTCCCCTTTCTCCAGGACGTACCGGCCCGGGAGTGTGTTTCCGTATGTACGATGAGTCAGACTACGATAACTTCCAGGAGTACGCCACCCCTGAGATCCAGCGTGTGCCCCTGGACTCCACACTCCTGCAGATGATCTCTATGGGCCTCAAAAACACCAGGAAGTAAGTCAGCATTTCTAGCCATTTTTAGCTTTAGTATGCTCACTTTATCACTTCCCTGCCTATAATGAGCTAATTCTATCATTGTGCTCTGGACGGGACCTCTGTTGATTGAATGACCCCTGTAGAATTGAGGAACTGAATTTTTGTCTCGCAATTACATATCAAGCTTGAATATGGTAAGCTAGAGTTGAACATCTTGTGTCCGAGTACGCTTTGAATTCCAAAAGAGAGAAAAATGATGTGTTGGTTCTTAGTGTATCCACTGTTCTGAAGACTTCCCTTACTTTTCAGGTTTCCCTTCATTGAGCCCCCGGCCATGTCCAGTATTGAAAACTCTGTGGCTTTCCTTAAGGAGCAGGTATGTCACCGTATGTGTTGGGGAAGGACCTGGGGAATTGTAATAAAAGTAATTATATAGTGATACTTGGCCAGTTTTTTTACTAAATGGTCACACAAAAGTTAAATTTCCCTATAACATATAAGCTCCAAAAAATCTGAAGCTTTTATGTTTCAAAGGACAAATATACAGAAGTCTCAATGACATTTTTCTTCTATCTATTCTAGAGAATGTGTGAGGCTAACAGCCTTGGTTTGAATCAGGTGATAAATGTTAGGATGTCAAGAAATGTATCCTGTCCTTGGTGCTGATTGGCTGTCAGAATGATATACAGTAACATGTGATGCTCTGTTGTCCAATCAGCATGCCTAAAAGTATTTTAATCTGCAGGGAGCATTGACAGAGGAAGAGACACTGACTCCCATTGGACGGATGTTGGCTCGGCTACCGGTAGATGTGGTGATTGGCAAAATGCTTATCATGGGAACTGTGTTCCATGTGAGTACAATATAACTGTTCTGTCAGTTTGTCTGTCTGTTTACAAGGTATTATTGAGTTTGGTCCTGGCAACTACACCACAATTTTTCAGTTTCAAATTTTGCTTCATATTGTGGCAATAAGCTCCATGTTTATATAATTTACATACATGTAGACTATATCTCATACCTAAGCTTAAAGGAATATGATCAAGGTTAAAGGACTTCATCAGTCCTCTTATGAATGAAATAGATACTGTGGTGTGTGGTACCAAATTCTAGATTATCATTAATAGGTTAAGTGTGAATAAAATTTTAACAGGTTGTCTACATGACTGTCCTCTTTCTGTATATCATGAGTAATATCTGTCTTTCCTCCCTGTCAGGTCATTGACCCCGTGTTGTCCATAGCAGCAGCCTTAAGTGTGCAGTCTCCCTTCCACCAATCAGCACGCACCAATCCTGATGCCATGGTAACATCTCCACTTTCTCAGCAGTATATGTGACCTCCATGAACATGTATCTGCCAGGTTACATTCATGTACCGTATATCCACCACTTTGACATGCAGTGTGTTTGAGAGGTGTCTAGTGCAACACCCCCTAGGTGTGCACAGTTTACATTGTAGATATGCAGGAGTGCATAATCCTGGGGATGTTGCATTGGATATCTATCTACTAGACATGTTTTTCCAGGGTGGTAGATATATATGACCTTCCAGAGTTATGTTAGTAGGCGTCATGACATGTAGTCCTGATGACCTACAGACGACCTTGTGTTATGTCATGTTGGGTCCTGACCTGCTCAAGAATCCATTCTGGACTTTAATTATGTCAGCAGCACACAGAGACAAGATTAAAGTTTGCTGCTGAGAACTGGAATTTAATATTGCAAACTCTTATCTGCCAGCAAATAGTAAAGGTTGGTATGTACCATCCCCCCCATGCTGCGTAAACAGGGGAGCCGGTATACATGGTAAACAGGGTCAGCTGTTATCTCCCGAGGGCAGGGATTATCTGCGTATTTGATGTGTCAGGCGACGGGTAGTTTGCCAATCGATAAGATGTCCTAGTCAGCACACTGTTCAGTTATATAATCAGTAACACCACCTCTCCACTAGAGGCGTACCAAAGATTTGACATATTGCTTGAAGAATTTTATAGATGAACAATGAATCATTTTACTTTTTTTGTGAGCCAGATACGCCATGTTGATTTGATTATATGGATGACATCCTCTGGGAACCCCAAAGCTGGTGCGAGTGTGCAAATAAAGAAAAGTTTGGCAAAAAAAAGGCTAATTTTGTACGATTTACTGTTTTTTTGGCAACGGATGAAAATGTATGCGCGTGCGGATGTCAGCTGAACGATCGCTTGGCAGTCAGCGCCTAGTGGGAAGGGGCCTTATGGGAAACTTAGAGATGTGTCAGGTGCAATGTATTATGCTAATCAATACGATATCCTCGTTAGTCAGTAATGGGTATGCTTGACCTTGAGATAACTTCTGATAAAATGCAAAATGGTACATTGGCAGTGCAAAAAATGTCAGGGAGTAAAAATATGGGTGCTATTACTGTCTGGAAATTTACATTGCTTTGAAAAATAGTATAAAAAGATAAATCAACCATCTCCTGATGCCTGTGATTGATTAGGCATGCAGAAACCTCTGACCCTAGAATTAGGAGTCTTACTCAATCAATATGATAGTGTATCAGAAAAGCATACATGTACATGTGTAACGTTATGTATTTGCTGTGTCAGCATTCTTCAAGGATCAAAATTCAGTCTCTAGTATTGTTTCAGACATCAAGGGATACCGCCAAATTGCAAAATGGTAAAAATCTATTCGTAACATGTTTAAGTCACAAGATTCTGGTGAAAATATATCCCTTGTAACCCTCAGGGAGACGTACAATGTAATACTCAGTACATAAACAGTGCACATATTGCTCTTTGTTTAAGTAAGAAATTAGCCTCAAAGTAACATTTCAAATACTTTTGAACACAATCATATAATCTCAATTAGCAACTCCACAAATTCCTTCACAGCATACAACAATGTTTATGAGGGTAAGCTTTTCTTCAATGTGATAAGTTGTAGAAAAAAAATATCACGCTATAAGACCAAGCCATGTATACTATAAAAATCGGGGAGGATACTGCTTGGGATAGGACAGTATTATTTTATACCAGACTGATCCATGTTTTTCTACAGCATGCACGAAGACCTCTAGAGTCGGACCATGGAGACCCCTTTACTCTGCTGAATGCCTTTGATGAGTGGATTCAGGTATACAAGTACATTGTACATGTAGTTGTTTCATTAATTTCTTTATCTTATATTTGACTGTGTCAATAATCATCTTTAAAATGATGATACCACACTGCTATAGCGTTGGAAGGTGCAGCATGCACCAAAAGCATTACCTGTTTGTATTTGGCACATGGTGTACATGTAGTTCACACAGTCACAGTCGTTGTAGGTCATACGTAGGAGTTTAATGCAGTGGAATGCGCAGGCTGTGACAAAACTTAACTGCTGACAAGGATCCAAGAAAGCCTTTTCCATTACAAGAATCAGTGTTTTGCAGTACACACTCATGGCACTGTCAGGTTTGTGATCCAAAGATGGGATCTTAGTGCATTTTACACCTATGCACATTCCCAGTATGGATTTGGAAAGCTGTTTTTACTTTTTTTCCCTCAGGTGAAGGCGGGAGGGCGGAACTCGTCCAGGAAATGGTGCCGGAGGAGGGGACTGGAGGAGCAGAGGTTCTACGAGATGGTCAAACTCAAGGAACAGTTTAAGGACCTGCTCAAGGTGTGGTGGGAAGGACTGGTTTTGTGTAGTCACTGTACATAAACTAGTCATTCCTTCCTTTACTATTGTAGTATCAATTAGATTGTCGTATCAATAAGACTAGTGTTGTAGAGCCATCTAACATGCTTGAGATGTCCTCAACAAAACAAAATGGAGATGAAAATGGTGTCCCTGTAATCACACTTTCTGTCTTCCATTTCCTGCTATATTCGTGTGAGTGTGTGTTGCCTGATGGAAAATGGATTCACAATATTGAATAAACCTGAAATCCCCAAATATTAATTCTTCATGGAGGTGTTAAATCTTTAAGTTCTCGTAACAGTTGTTGTTGTTGGTATCCAGGACCATGGACTGCTGGAGGGTGAGGAGGATCATTACTACCGTGAGGAGGAGAGGAGGAAGAGACACGGGGAGAGGAGAAGACTACAGGAGCTGAAGAGACAACACGACAAGGGACCCAGGAAGAGGAAAATCCTCAAGCTAGAGCACGAGGCAAGTCTCAAGACAGTTCACATGTGTGTAAGGTGCTCAGAGTACTGTAACACTTCTGAAAAGTTGAGAGCGGATGGTATCCAGGTTCTGAATGACATCAGCTGTGACTTGATTGATGATGATGTAGATACATGTATATACATTCTCATACCATGCTACACGTGTGCATACTATCTTTTAGTATGTTTGAAATTTTTGTTACAAAATGTACAAGAAAGAAGAGGGACTAAGATCTAGAATTGGGAACTAAAACATTACATCCAATAAATGAAATTGAAAACTACAACTTTGACTCCATCCTGTACAGGATATAGAACTGAGTGGTGGAGATGACGATGATGATGAGGTTGACATTAAAGACATCGAATTCAAGTTGAAACATGACCTGAACCAGCTTCAGGAAACATCCAATCAGACGCGCAGTTTCACCCTCCGCGACATCCTTCTCCTCAAGGTCGTGCTCTGCAGGTAAGGAGGGCCACAAGGTCAAATTAGTGGCAGGATTTAGCCTACAAAATTGTGTCATGCTGCAATTTTGTATGTGGTCATTTTGCTACTTATTTTATGCCTAAGATCTTGCATGTATAGTAATGCTAGTAATGGTGTATAATCTTACAATAGTTTTAAACTGAAACCTTCTCTCCCATGATCTAGTGGCCTGTACCCCTTGGTTGCCATAGCAGATGACTGCAACACTTACAGAAGAGACTCGGAGCAAGTCTTCCACACTAAAGTGAGCCACAGAACAATTACATTTTAATTTTTATCATTTGTTGTAGACTTTCAGTGCATGTTGATGTGGTGTGTGACATGTGGAAATTGTAGTTTGATTGCAATGACTTATGAAAAATGCATTTCAACATTCTAGATAGAATAACTCTTATGTAATGTAAAGTGATCTGATGTATCACATACAATTTTAATGGTTATTTCCAGTCCAAACAGTTTGTAGTGCTGCACCCCACGGGTGTGTTCTCTACCAACCCTGAACCCCTCCAACTGCCCCATACTGAGGGGAAGCAGGGTGTGGCCCAGCCCAAGGGACAAGTCAGCAGTAAACACCAGCTGCTGGCTTACACGTGAGTTGCCTCTCTTATGTCACCAGATCCATATTATATGTTCACAACAGTCTTTGGATTATATCTTAATGTCAAGGAATGTGTTGCAGCTGTTTTTACTTTAAATATGAAAATCAAGACAGTCAAAGTCGAAGTTTTTCCCAACCTTCACCATCCAAGATCATTATAAGAAAAGAAAATTTTGTTCAACTTTGTATCTTTAAACTGGTGCTTGACCTCGAGATGACCATTGCCTCTTGTGTAATTTTGCTACTTCTTGTTGAATTTTGTTTGACTAGATCCCTACTGGAGACCAACAAGCCTTACCTTGTGAACACCATGCGGGTCCCTGCCCTACAGACCCTGATGCTGTACGCACACTGTCTGGACACCAACCAGGACTGCACAAGGTTCATACATGTATACATACAACTACTGTAATGGCAGGACAATTAAATTTACCATGTTAGGGGTGCTGTAATGCTTGATTGTTGACTTGTTCTGAATTGTACAAATGGCTAACAATTAGTATAGAAGGCAAAAGTGCAAGTTTCTCTGTCTCCCCAGGATAGTGTCTGACCACTGGCTGGAGCTGACCTTCCCTGAGTCGGAGGCGGCCCAACTCCTGCTGTCCTCAGTCATCCAGCTGAGGGCCACCTGGGCCAAACTACTGGGGCTCAGGCTGCAGGGTGACTACAGCAGCTTTTCTGAGTTTCTGTTCTTGCTCTAAGTATGATTTAAAAACAGGAATGTTTGTATAAATTCTCTGAGGATTAACTTCAAGAAAAAGTCATAATTTCTGCCAAAGCCTACTCGCATAGATCATTTAATTTCAAAATTATGCATTCCAGTTTGTTGTTCATTTTGCCAGAATATTTCTAGAACAGTTTTTTGTTGCTGGCAGAGTCGACTAAGAGAAACAAGGACGATGGTGATGAAGATGACACCAGCAGGAAAGCGAGGAAGCTGGAGAAGGTGTTGGCCCACAAGCTGACAGAGTTCCTGAGCAGTGATGTGGAGTACTCCATCAGGAGACTCGGCAACTCTGAGATCAAGAACCTGTTTGTGGGCCTGCTGGAAGGTTTGGACCATACTGACCTTCTTAAAAACACACTGGTCATGAGGGCTCTCATTGTAACAAAATCATGATTGAAAAAAAGGTATTGTAAGTCATGAAATGTTCATGGAGGGTTTTTTGTGACCTCTCCTGCAAATTTATGACACTTCAAATATGTTTTCCTTCTATGACTACTGTACTACACAATTGTTTCAACTATGAAATCAAAACACAGGAAAACCTCCCTTTCCCTTCTGCCTTGAAATGAAATGAACTCTAAAAATCAACTCAAAAAAATGTTCACAATTTAGAGTAACTGTGTCAAGAAGTTGACATTGTCCATGGCCACTGTTCGATCTATTTTGGTTGAGTCAGCTCTTTTTCATGCAGCTGGAGATATATTGATTTTAGGTACCGTGAGATAATTTGCTCTTTGTCTAGAATTTGACCCCAGTTCTGCAAAAACACTTCAGCTACATGTAGTATCATTGGTTTATATAAGACAGAATGGACTTGGTCCGTGCAGGCAGACCGACTGGAACAGGATTATAATATGTCACTGCAAGAAAACACAATATGGCAGTTTTCTAAAGCCAGGTACATTGGAAGAAAGTAACGTGTCAGATGGGAATAAAAATGGAGCAACATGATATATGTATTGTAACTTGGTAATGGCAACAAGACAGAGAGTTGTTGCATACAAGTACTATAAATAATTATAATGCAATGTATATGAAAACCAGTACATTGATAGACATTAAACAAAGGGAACAAAGTGAATCAAAGAATTTGAATGCTGAGCTTCTAAACCACACAGGTATGTGTTGAAAGGGAATTTTTATTTCACAGTAGGTTCCACAGCAACTGAGCCTGTGCCATCCCTGTTCTCTGGTGAGTGCCGACCCCACCCGACCAAAGGTGGTGTACAGATCAACGACTACCTAACCTACAACTGGTGAGCTCTGCAATGTTACACACAGATCACAGGACTATACTGAAGCTTCTTTTTGGTTTATATTCTACCTTTGCCCTGCTTCAACATTGTACAATAATTTTTTTGAAGAACAAAGAGAATGACATTGTTTTAGTTGAAAAAATGGATTGAAAAGGAAATAAAAGATTTAATTGTAGACACACCTACTTCTGCTTACACATCTGGTTCATTGCAAGAAATTACCCTGATTTTTAAGGAATTGATTCAGTTTCCTCATAGTTGTACCCATCATAGCATCAAGTACTTCTTAGTTTTAAATTTAAATTTCTGTATTTTGTATTGTATTGTTGTGAAGACCAGCCGACTGCTATCCACTTGTGTCAGAGACGCCCCGCAGCAGTATAATCAAATCAGATACTACTTTTATCTATTTTCCTTTGCTGTTCACCTGCCCAGCCTGCAGGATGATGGCATGTCTGTGCACAGCTTCATGGCGCACCTGCGGAACAGCTGGACCTGTCCCACCTGTCAGGTGGACATGGCCGTCACCGTGCTGGAGAGGCTTCAGCACGAGGACCAGTGTCAGAACAAACAAGGTATTGTGTCCAGAACCGTACCTACCTTGCTATGCCAGAATAGGTTAGGGTTAGGATCAGGGATGGCTCTGGATATACATGGTCTATCCAGAACCAAGCCTGAGTCTAACTCTAATCTGGTACAGTTCTGGATGCAACACAAGGTGATTTCATCAGCTGTTTAGGTCTAGGCCACTTGTCTGTACTGTAGTACCTCATGTATGCTCATCCTTAATGTATATGCTGTTAACGTTAACGTTGTACTCCAAGCAGCAGTTTTGGTCGGGGCTTATATTATATTTTTGTTGGTCAGGCTAACCTGTCTACCATAAATTCTCTATCTGGTTCTAGGCTGATTATTTTTTCATGTCTTAATATCCACAACACAAGGCTATCTTAAAAATCATGGACAACTTGGCTGTCAATCATCTACATTTTGTAATGTATGCTATGTTTCTTTATTTGTACCCAGATGTGTCTGTTGATGAGTCCAGGCAGCAGGGTGGTCCGTCCAGCCTGGAGAGACTGAGGAAACCTTACTTCTGCACCACCTGTCAACAGGAGTTCTCCTTCACAAACACTGAGATCCTGAAACACAGGAAAACTCACTCTCAACCTGCTGCCACAGGGGAAGGATCTACAACATGATCTGACTTTTCATGTTGATATGATTTCTTTGCTTTAGTTCAGCAGTGGTGCAGTTAACACAAACGGACACAAACGGACAGTACTACAGTAATTATTGTATGCAAAATTCTAAGTGTGAAACAAGTTGGAACATCTTGCAATGCACTTTGCAGATGCATATGCACATCATGGAAATTGAAGAACACTTATCATAGGTTTGTCAACATAAAGCATCAGACTGAGGTTGATTCTAAGGAGAGATCACATCCTGTTTATACCAGTACATGTAGTTATTAATGATGTCTCAAGGAAATGATGTTGAGGAACTCTCTACCTGTTTTTGCCTTACTTTTCTCATACTGTAGCATAGATACATGTATCCCAAAAGGAGTTCCCTCATTTTGACCTCAGAAATTGCAACTTCAGTCATGGAATGAACTGTGACCTCATAAAGAACCTTTGCCTGTTCACAGTATCCTGTCAGGTACTGATGCTATTTACATTGTAGTCAAGATGTATTTGATTGACATGTATTGTTCTTTGCACCAATGGCTTAGTGTCAGATATAAAATTATTGAAACTATACATTGTCAGTAAAAATCACTGTGTTGAATTGGATTTGTTATAAGCAATGCATTATGCAGCAAAAAAGGTCTGTTTATATAGGTATGAGGTTGCCTGCTTCTTAATTTACTCACTCCATCAGCAGATGATGTCAAATACTGCATCCTCCCCACAATCACGAGTGCATGAAGAGTTAACCTTTAGCACAGTGAAGTAGCTATTTGGCTAAACAATTCTCTATTAGTCATGGGATTAGGCAGCAGGGAGAAAGTTAAGGAGTTGCCTGGGTGCTGTTTGTATACCAATACAAACTCTGTCAATAAATCCTTTATGAGACCCACACATACATTGTTAGGTCACCATTTATTTTACGAAAGGACTTGCATGTGAGAAGCATCCACATACAGGTAAACATTCAATCTGTCTTAAGAAAGCATTTTTACCTACTAGTATTATATTAGTATCGCCTTGTAAAACTCTGTTCCCAAAAATGATGGTCAAGACTGTGTGAAAGAGCTGTATACTACAACAGTTGTGCGTGTGTCAATAGCAAAAAACACAGTTATTTGTTGTAAATTGTGACTGTGGACAACTGTTACAATACTGATCATGACATTTACTATAAGCATAGTAGTAGAAACTGTAGGCACAAACATTTTAGTTATAAAGATTGTCCCTCTTGCTGGGAAATAACCCTCCCTCCCTCTCACACGCACACACACACACACACACACACACACACACACACACACACACACACAATAGACCTTTTATGCAGAGAGGGAAATGTGGAATTATAAAGATGAAAGAAAATTATTATCATATCACTAGCAAGAAATGTTAATTTTAACTAAAATATGCATCGAAACAATGATCATAACATCTTCTTTTTCAAAGAAATATGCTTGGGGCAGTCCAGACTGTCCTGTTGATGGTCCTGTTGGGAAGTTATACTGTTCCATGTGGTAAGCTAACCCTTATTGAAGATCTTTCCTACAGGAAGGCACTATGCAATTTTAAGCAAAAATGGGAGCTATTGCACATGTTTGATGGATCATTAGAAAACAGTTGTAGGGCATGGTAAAGTAATAGATACTAAAAAAGAATTGACAACACTAGTGGTTCATCACTTTGCTACAATATGAAAGATGAGCGTAGAAGTATTTCCATATTTATTAGTATTCTAGCATAAGCAGAATTGTGTATTTGTACTTGTTGTATTGTCCCTGTTTTTATATGGGCCGCGCCTCTGGCCTGAGGCAAAGAATAAATAAATAAGCAAAGAAGTAGCAGCGTAATTCCCCAACCCTCTGTGTTACAATCTTATCAGTACAATTTTCTTGTCTTCTCGTACTTGTGTGATTACTACATCCATGTAATTTCCAACAGAACCAGCCTGGCAGTACGAACCTTCGTGCTACCGGACTGAATTGACGTCAGTCCAATGGCACCAGGCTCTGACGGCATGTCGTACTAAAGGCGGATACCTGGCGACAGGGGACAGAGAGGGTGAACTGGACAGTTTGAAGTCACTCATACCACATTCGACCCAGTACTGGTTGGGAGCCAAGAAACTGGACACGGTTGGCAAATTTTACTGGGTTGAGTCAGGTTAGTTCAATAGAACGTTACTGACATTCTGTTTCCACATACACATTGTATCTAAAACAACCAGGCAAACAGACCCACTGACACACAAGCGTAAACGTTCATAGATGTACATATAATCAGCAATGCATAAAACAAGATTACAGCAAATTTAGAAGATCTACACAATATAAATTACAAGATTTCTACGACCTCATTCGCCAATGACCTTGACATTTATGGAGGACATGTTAGAAATGATTCCCACTGATTGTGCAAATATAAGGTCCTCATTTTCATAAATCCTAACAGGCAAAGTCACCATCGTCTTTTTCGAGTTCTGCCTGCCTCTCGTCTCCAGCTACCAATGCTACCAATGAAAGAAAACCCTAAAGATGTGTTGTAATGTTTCAGATTTTGAACGTTAGGTAATTTCTAAGTCTGTATGATCCCAATTCCTATTAGAATTCTAATATAGTCATACCGCGAGGCCCGTTTAAAATGTGACTCTAATTGTACTCTCTTGAAACGTTTTGTACAAATACAGTTCCCGAATAACCTGGCTGCTAGGGGTGCTAATTATGTGTGGCACTTCTTCACAAGAGATATTTACCACCTAAAAGTCAGAACCATAGCATAACCATAACACACACGCACACACACGCACACACACACACACACACACACACACACACACACACACACACACACACACACACACACACACACACACACACACACACACACACACACACACACACATTCTTGGTGAAGGTACGTTTTTGATGACTATATAGATTACAACTGTTCCTTATTTTCCTAGTGTTTGCTGATGATGCAAAATGTATTACTGACGCTAATAAGAAGATAGACTGTGGACCTTGGAATGGGAATCAGTGGGATTGTGAGCACACGGGATGCTGCTGGCAGCCGGCGGCTCAAGGATCTGTGGAGCCCTGGTGCTCGTATCGGGACGGTATGACGGCTTTATCCATCTCTTCTCTCTATCTCTTCTCTCCATCATTCCTCCTCATATTATCCTGCTTTCAGCCGTGTTGTTTGGCTTAAACATCCGTGGAACCCGTTTATTGCAGATGTTATAATCACCGCGGAGATACCTGGCCTCAGCTCCTCACAAGATGTAGACTGTGTTGCCTTTGGTAACAGTGGCTTAAGTGCTCTTGACTGTCATGAGTCACGGGGAATTATTTGTGAATCAGGTAAGCGATTCACCAGTTTTATGAACCACTTTTATTTTGGAAGTCAAACTTCGTGCATTATTTGGTCCGTGACGCACACGTTTGTACATTGCGTTTTGTACATGGGGTAAAATATAAGAAACGGTGCTCTGAGCATCCAGCATGCTTTAAGCATTGTTGTAGGAATGAAAGTGATGTTTGTTTAAGACTTCCGCAACAGTTCATCTAACTCCATTTGTGTGACACAAGTGTCAAAACAAAAACAGAGCCATACGCAGCGAAGTATTATTTTGTTTATCTAAGACCTTACTAATTTGTTTGACAGCGCAAAAGTGCATCAACCCAGTCGATACCAACACCAGAGTCTCCTGTGGAGAAGTCGTGCACCTCACCTGTCCTCCAGGATTCCGGCTGAACGGAGACTCCGTGCTAGTGTGTACAGGAGGGAACAGTGGAGGCTTCATCGGAGTCTGGAACGGCACGGCGACATGTGAAGGTAACTACTAGCATACTATAAATAAATGTACATGATGCCAAGAAAATAGGGGAAAATTAGGACAAGATTGTCGGCTATAGATGAAGTGCGTTTTGGCAAACAGTTGATTTGTTGCCCTCTAGATATCAATGAGTGTGCATCCTCACCATGTGGTATCAACGGAGACTGTGTGGATGGCGTCAACAACTACACCTGCAACTGTCACCCGGGTTACAACGGAACCGACTGTGAAAATAGTGAGTAAAATCAGTCCAAACTGGCAACTCATACCTATAAGTTTCCAGATTCCATATAAGTTTACTTATAATCTAAACACAGTTCGTCCAGCCACGTCGGGACTGGCGACAGTGGTGGTTAGCTTTTTTCGCCGTGTGTATATTATATCTTTTGTGTACTGTTCTTGCATCTGTTTACGTTTTAACATATATCGACGAGTGTGCCTCCTCACCATGTGGCAGCAATGGAGACTGTGTGGATGGCGTCAACAACTACACTTGCAACTGTCACCCGGGTTACAACGGGATTAACTGTGGAAATGGTGATGAAACTTGCAGGCTTATTTTACTTTGAGGACAATACTTACTGTCATTAACGCTTGACATTAATTAAGTTGTACATAGATAATCTGACAGATGTTTCATTTCCAACAGATATCGACGAGTGTGCCTCCTCACCATGTGGTATCAACGGAGACTGTGTGGATGGCGTCAACTCCTACATCTGTAACTGTAACCCGGGTTACAACGGAACAAACTGTGGGAACGGTGAGAAAAAAACACAAATCCATGGCCGTTTTTACGAAACCAAGGTACGTCCTTAACCAATACCCTAATTGTATTGTTTTTACAGCAATTTCATTTATTTTATGACTGATACATTTTCTTTTTCCAACAGATATCCACGAGTGTGCATCCTCCCCATGTGGCAGCAATGGAGACTGTGTGGATGGCGTCAACTCCTACACCTGTAACTGTCACCCGGGTTACAACGGGGCCAACTGTGGAAGTGGTGAGGAAACTCACAGACATATTTCATTTTTTTAATCAACATTTGGTGTCGTTATGCGATGCTTCCTCCACACAGCTGCTATATTTTTCAACAGATATCGACGAGTGCGCATCCTCACCATGTGGTATCAATGGAGACTGTGTGGATGGCGTCAACTCCTACACCTGTAACTGTCACCCGGGTTACATCGGGATCAACTGCGGGTTTGGTGAGGAAAAACTAAAACAATTGGCGACTTTTAGGATTAACATTTTTTTCCTATGGAGCCGTGTAGAGATGCTGACATAACATTCAAATGAATGCATGTATATCAGTTTGTTACGCTAATAGTGTTTACATGGTAATCTTGACAACATCTTATCTTTCCTGTCTCTCTCTGCTACCCTTCAGCTTGCGTTTCCTTTGAGCAGTAAGGGGATTAGTACACAATCAGCATACAAAAAAATTAACGCATTTTTAGAAATGAGTCATGGCGAAGTAAGAATTAATAGCTGTCTACCATTGTACCAGTCTCTGTGGGTTGCTGTAAAAATGATAAAAGTGGAATGAAAATTTTTCAAAAAAAGAATTGACCGGCCATATGCCAACATTTATGGCCGGCCAATTCATCTTGTAAATTACTCCTTCTATTCGGCGAATTTCTGCACTTTTTCTGCAACCCAACGAGTCTGGTGAGACTAAGAAGTATCTGGATAAGGAGAAATTAAGGTAAGTCACAAAATTACCGCTATTTCATCCGACAGCACTTTAGTTCACTTCGATACGTTTTCTTGTACGGAGAAGGTAACAGGCCAATAGGGGCTGCACGAGCAACCTCCATGGAGGAGCTCTGCAGAGCTCCTCCATGGAGGTTGCTCGTGCAGCCCTCCGCGATACCCCCGCAGAGCTCTGCGCCCTAACAAGTCAATTCTTTGGTTGGCGTCACGGATTCAGTTTTCTATAGAGCTCTGTGAGTAGTAGGCGATATACAGCCAGTACTGTGTCACAAATAAAGACTTCGTCACGCAACTCTGCGCAACACGGAGAGCTCTGCCGCCCTAACAAGTCAATTCTTTGGTTGGCGTCACGGGTTCAGTTTTCTATAGAGCTCTGTGAGTAGTAGGCGATATACAGCCAGTACTGTGTCACAATAAGACTTCATCACGCAACTCTGCGCACGCAACTCTGCGCAACACGGAGAGCTCTGCGCCCTAACAAGTCAATTCTTTGGTTGGCGTCACGGGTTCAGTTTTCTATAGAGCTCTGTGAGTAGTAGGCGATACAGCCAGTACTGTGTCACAAATAAAGACTTCGTCACGCAACTCTGCGCACGACAACACGGAGAGCTCTGCGCCCTAACAAGTCAATTCTTTGGTTGGCGTCACAGTTCAGTTTTGCTTTCACCTCTTTGCGCTCAAAACAAGTCATTTCGTTGGTTGGCGTCACAATGTTTCTTCATCTTTTTGTTTTCCATGTTTCTTATTGGTAGCATATCATAATTTGAGTTGGATGCATTTTTACAAGTCTATATACATTTTGTTCCACCAAGGAGGTTCTTCTTTTTTTCTAGTCCTAATTTACGGTCAAACCCTTCTGAGAATATTGTCGTTTTTGACTTGGGTTGTTTTGAAGAAAAAAAAAGATCACTGGTGCTCAAAAACAAGAGACACGTAAGCCTCCGTACAAAAATAAAGTGTCGTTTATTCATATTTGACCACACACACAGCTTTCCGCCACACACGAGCAGCGTCTGCGTACATAACAAGTCAATTCCGAGGTAGGCGTCAGAATAATTAGTATTTGAGACCTCTGTGGAGGGAGCTCCTGGCACAAACAAATCAATTCGTTGGTTCGCGTCACAAACTCAATAACTACATTGAGCTCTGCATAGCTACTCCATGGAGATGCTAGCACAGCCCTCTGTAATATACAGAGGTCTGCAACAAAACTAGTCAATTCGTTGGTTCGCATCACATTGTTTTTTTGGTTAGACCTGTGTACATCAAGTAAATTCAATGTTTTATTTGTCATCAATTTTCCCAATGGATCTATAGTCTACTGGGCTCCAACCGCGGCAATACAGAAAGTACGTTGTTACAGTCATTTCTTTACATAGTAAGTTGACCTATAACACTTTGGTATACAAGAACACTATTCAAAGAGACAACATCGTTTCTCCATACAAAACAAAGTTAACATGCTTTTGTAGTGTGATCGGTCAAGCAGTGTGCCACCCATTGTCCTGTATTTTACAACCAACATCCGTTCTAACCGAGACGGCCACCCTCGCACGAAACAAGTCATGCACAGTTATAAACTAGGTGTGAACGTGCCATAATCCAAAAGACAAAAGAGTGCAAAAACTTCAATGAGCGATTCAGAAAGGCCAAGATCTCAAAAGAGGAAAGTGTCATCCTGATCTCATGTTGTGTCGTCTAGACGCCCAGACAGTTCTGCATATAGAGGGCCAAATAGAGGGCCAAAGGAAAAGTAGTTCTACCAGACCTAAAAAGCGACTTGGTCTTGTGCGCAAAGAGGTGGAACCAAAACGAAGCCATGACGCCAACCAATGAATTGAGCTGTTTCGGCGCAGAGCTATTGACTGCAAGCTTGAAACCGACGGAGGCCGACCTGTCAGAGCAGCAATACCACCTCTGCGGGCCGCTGGTACGTTACAAAGCCTAGTAGTCACATTGAACTGGCTTAAAATCCCCGGAGCTCTACACAAAACTGAACCTGCGTCGCCAGCCATGACGAATTGACTTGTTTTGAGCGTAGAGCGCAAAGAGGTGAAAGTAAAACTGAACGGTGACGCCAACCAACGAATTGACTTCATTTGGCGCAGAGCTCTCCGTGTGTCAGACTGACGGAGAGTTGAGCGAGCAGTCCTTTGCAGAGTTGCGTGACGAAGTCTTAATTTGTGACAGAGTAATGGCTGTTCAGCCTAATAGTCATATTTAATTAACTTGATATCCTCAGAGCCCTATACAAAACTGAACCTGTGTCGACAGCCATGACGAATTGACTTGTTTTGAGCGTAGAGCGCAAAGAGGTGAAAGTAAAACTGAACGGTGACGCCAACCAACGAATTGA